ATATAGGTTCAGATGATGAATATGTATTTTATTCAAGGAAAACGGGTGACCCAGATAACAAAAATAAACAACTGAACTACTGGGGAAAAACTTGTTCATATAGCTACGCGAGAGAGAGAGAGAAAGAAATAATATAGATAAATATGTATATGTTAGGGAAACATCGCGGCTCACATAGGTTACGTAAAGGAGAGTGAAAAGAATGAAAAAGGCTAGCGGCAACAACATAACATCTGTTGACGCTAACAGTTTTCGATGCTGATTCCGGTCCGGATATTGATTTAACTCAGAGTAGGCTCTTCTCTATTAAAAAGAGTTTTCAACTGCTTAAAAAATGGGTGAAAGCGTGTCAAAAAAATGAATCCCGAGCACAACACGACTAGGAACCTTCCTATTGGCCACAGTTTTTAGACTTTCAAAATATATCTACTAGTTGAGACCTATCTGGATTTAAATTTTCAGAATAATCCATCGAGTATTTCACTAAAAAATTCCCAAAATATGAGCTCAGAACTGTTAAAAAAGCTAATATATAAATGTCTTGACTCTGTAAGGAGCGAAAATGGAAAGCGGTTAAGCAAGCCTATATGCCAGAAGATAGAGCGAGCGGCACTCTACAAAACCTAGTATGCCATCCTTCACCCAAATTCGGAAGAGATTTTTTATTCGAAGACAAAGTGCTTATTTCAACCCGAGTCTATATTCAAGCATTTAATAATTTATTACCAAAATGATCAGCTCATCGAGCTCTACAAACGGTGAAAGTTTCAGTCGATTCTGAGAAAGTCATGTATAAAGTGGTACGTTTCCCATGGATTCATTCTATACTTTGAAACATATGCACATTCAACAATGGTACTATTTCATTTGTATCATAAATTGTTTTTAAATCATTAAATGTATTAGCTTGATAGAGTTTTGGTAATGGAACACTATGATCAATTGATGTTGCAAATCCGACAAAGGAATTTGTTTTAGAGTCATATTCAACTTTACGAATGATCCCTGTGGTGTTTTCAGAGCAAAAACCAAACTGGGAATGACATTGCCGAAGATATCCAAAGTAAAATTCTGCTTCACTAAAAGCAGTATCTGATTTTTTAATTAATTCACCTAGTGTTGTCAAATTAGAAATAGAACCATAAAGATTTAAACGAATAAATTCATAGACTTGTTTGCCACCGAGCACATATAAGCATATGGTAAAATCTTTAATTGATTCAGTATGCCTAAAGTTATTCGGAGATTGTGTAAAGTTGTTTATTAAATTGCCCATAAATGATACTAAAAATCGATTTGTTTGCTTAACATCATTTAGATCATTCATTCGATACCATTTTATTAGTGACTGTAATAACGGATGATTATCGAGGAATTCATCAGTTATATAATTTGAATAATTTTCATTGTTTTCATTGGATGCTAATTCTTGTTTTTGTTTTAATGCTTTATTCAGTAAATTCATAAGATATGAAAAACTACTTTGAATGCCTGGCTTCACAATAAATTGTCCTGTTTTAGATTTAAAACAGGATTCAAGTTTAATAGCATCAGTTTCTTCTAAATCATATTGAAAAAATGCAAATACATCAGAAGTATTTAATAATTTGCCAACTGAGTTAATCAATTGTATTTATAAAATTTTAGCTAATGAATCACCTGCTACTAGTGGTCTGCGTGATCGTGCGTGATTGGAAACTTTTTTGTCGTCGTGATCGTGATCGTGATCGAAACTAAAATTTCGTAAACCTAACTTTGGCATATATATGCAAAATCTTCAATATTTATTCAGAAACACCATATTCACATGTAAACCATAAAATATCTAATATTTCATCTTCTGCTTATAAGAAAAAAAAAACAAAAAAAAAACACATAATTTAATGAAGAGTAGTAATAAAACAAATCTGAAAAAAGTATGAAAAAGATAATTAAAAAATCTCTTTATCTGGGTCACTTTCAGAATCAATAAAACATTCATTTCCATCTTGATTATCGAAGACATTAGTTTCTTTCTTCTTCTTTTGCATTGGTTCATCATTTAAAATAATTGTGTCACGTTTTCGTTTAGTATTTAAACTATCACTTGTTTCAGTAAATGCAACAGAAAATTGTTCTTTTAAAATATTCATATTCTTTTTCAAAAAGATTAATTTGTTCAATTTTTCGGAACCCAACTTGGTTCGTTTATCTGTGAAAGTATTCTTACATGCAGAAAATTGTCTTTTAACCGACGTATTCGAAGCAGGAATAGCTAATATATCACGAGCAATTGGTGCAATTAATGGAAATGATTGGTTATGTTGTTTCCAAAATGAAAGTATGTCGTCTTTTTCATCACCTTCCATTACCAATGTGGATGCTAAATAATTTTCTAATTCTTTTTCAACATGATTTTTTTCTGATACTGAAAGTGGTTTGTCAAATACTTCCATTAATAAAATATCTCGTGCATCTAAACAAACAGATTTTGTAACTGATGTGGAGGATATTGATGATGAACATGTGGATGAAGTTGTTGATGATGTATCTGGTAAACCGGCAA